GAGTAAGGTCAGAAATACTTTGAAGAGAGCCACAGGGAAGGTGACTCTTTTTCCCCTACAATGTGAAGGATACAGAAGGATATGCCATACAAAAGAACATTCTAGGCATAAAAGACAAGGAAAGGGCTTCTGCAGGAATAAAATAGTCAGTTCTGAAGATGGCCATACTGGAGAAGGGAGATAAGAAGCAGCGAAGATCATGTAAGAGGACTTAAAACGTTACGATTAAGGATGAATAGAAAACAAGGAATAGAAACAAACCAGAGAGTTTTAAGCATTGTAGCATTTTATTACGTAAGGGTTCTTCTTAACACATGGTCCCCAGCTATTTTCTAATTTCACTGTATCATTTTATTATTAAAGGGTTCTTTTCAATATATTTTCCCCAACTATTTTCTGAGATGGCAGAGTCTAGGAACTATCTAGGGGGAAATGAGCAAGCATGAACACAGCAGTAAATTCTTATGATAGGACAATTCTCTCACAACTAATTTTAAAATCAAACTCATCCAGTATACTGTTATCACATTATGGGGGAATAAAGTGATCCCCAGAAAAATACAAAATAAAAGTGAGCAACATGTGGTTATCTGTTTCAAAATGATTGGCTGGTGTTTTTACTATACAGAACCCAGTGAAAAAATGATTGTCTAGGAACAGTGATGCTTAATGAGAAGTTTGAAAAATGGGCGGTGTGACTTCTTTAAACAGTAGGGCTTCCCGACCAAAGAGGCCTTATCCAAAAAGGAGTATAATAGAAAAAAAAATCAAGCAAGGAGGACAAGAGATTAGAAAATAAATTTATAATTAGTAGAGGTCTTCATCACAGGGATTTTGTTTGTTTCTGTTTAGTTGGTTGGTTAGATTTTTTTTTCATTTTATTAGGAGACAGATGTAAAACAAACAGTAATATCTACTCCATTTCTTAGCTGTCTCCACTGATTCCTACCTGTAAAGTCCTGCAGCAGAACCAAGCTTTTAGCATCTTAGGAATTACCAAAGAGTACTGTGGATTCAACATCATAGAATCACAAAGCAGCCCTAATAACTTCAAAGTCTATGGAGAGTGAGCAGTTCTAGAGGTATCACATGAAACATTTTGTAGTAAGACCTCTGCCATTCTGTGTGAAAAGAAGGCTCATTACCATGGTAAAGGGTTTAATCCTCTGGGTGGGCTCTTTGGGACATGGTGAGGTGGAGTATAGTCAACATCTGATTACAAGGTTGTGGTAAAAAATAATACAGATGGCAGGGTGAGAATACTAAACAGGAAGCAAGGTCAGCAACAGAGCTGTTAGGAAGTCTGCTTAATGAAAAGGAAGAGAAGAAGCAGCTTGGAACAACCAAAATTAGGTCTCACCTACTGGATTCATGCAACCTAGTCACAATCACATATTCAGCAAGCACTTGTGGGGCTCCCAGCACTCTCCTAGATATTGGTATGATAGCAGAGGCAAGATACACTCAATAACCACAGAGTTTCCTATTTATCAATAAAACAGAAATGAATGCTGTCCATGCAGGAGCTTTTCATGTTGACTATACTGAGCATTTCAGGGAACACAGGTTGAGAGTTCAAAAGAGAAGAATGAACTTGGGGAGAGCTCTGTGAAGTCAGGGAACTAATTTTGAATCTAGCTCTTTTCCTAATGTCTTTTGAGAATGTCAACAGGCTATGGCATTGAACTTCTTAGAAATTTAAATTTTGAAATTTTACTTATACTCGTCAGAATAAGGAGGTATTTGGTCATGTGACTTGACAATATGGATGAACATATAAAATCACTAAAAGCTTCATTTTTTTTTCTTGTTAGATCAGTACCTGGACAGACAGGATGAAAAGAATAACTGGGATTAACTGTTTGAACCATATAAACAACACGGAAGAATTCTGTCAAGTCAGGGTACCTGGGTAATGTCTTGGTTCTGTCATCAACTATTTCTGTACCACCTTCCTGCTCTTCCTATGGATTTCTTTAATCAGGAGACAGAAAAAAATCTGCCTTAATCCACTAGTTGAATTTGAGTCTGAAATTGACCCAGATTGTGTCCAATCACTTTGAAATTTGAATAAGGTTATGATGATGATATGATAGCCTTTAGTTTCTTCAAAGGTGTGTCCTCTGAGATGACCATTGGTTCATTCATTAAATCCTTGTTACTTATACTCTATACACCCCATCCAAATTAAGTGTGGTAGGTTTGATTTCCTAAACCTTTTTCCAATATGTCAACTGCTTGCTATATCCTTTCTAACTAATGTAGAATGCATGTCATCTCCTCTCATCTCTGTTAGAAGATAGGATATATTTTAGATACACCTTATTTTGACTTCAATTTGAGCCAGAACAGGCATTCTACTATTTGATCAATTCACCAAGAGGTATCAAGGACAATACCCAGCTGGAATGAGGAGAGAGCCAAAAACTGAATGTGGGAAAACCACAGAAGGAACACTTTGAATAAGACCATAAGCTGCTCTCGAATTCTGTTGTGAAGGTAAAGAAAAGCATTGTGGTACCATACTTTGAAAAAGTATCTGATATTTGATGCTCTTATCTCTTGTGCATTTTTCTCAGTGATGCTTAAAGTGGATATTAAGAAGTAAATGAAGTGTCCTGTGTCTGGGAAATTGCTCACATAGCTAGCACACAATAGAAACTCCACATACATTTTTTGAGTGAATAAATGGCAATCACTCATTTAGTATATATAGTCTCACTTTGGACAGCAAATAAAAAGCTCTGAAAACTATGTTAATTATTTACCCCCCCCCCCAGATTTTATTTCAGAAGAGTGAAGAAGTACTAAAGACACATAGATAAGAATTCCTTTCCAGGAAGGCCATAGTACAGCCAAACCACATAAAGCAAAGCAAGAGTATTTGTGCTAAAGGAAAAAACAAGCCCAGAATTATTAAAAATGAAATGACTGAGTTAAAAAAGAGTTCAGCCCTGAATCTTAAGCCATGAGTACTCTTGCTAATGTGAAAAGCAACAGGTTGTACTTTATAGAAAACATTTTCCCACCTATGATGGATTTGAAGCTGCCGAATACAACTGCTTTATCATTATAAAGGATGTACAGAAATATTCAGAGCCCAGGTGATATCTTTCAGTAAATTCTAAAATGTTCCTTTTTCCAGTCTTAATACAAAATATATGTGCATCATGGTCTACACTAGTACAAAGGGCTGTTTACCAGAAAATACTCAGAGCCTACAAGGAAACATTACTATGAGCTTGACCATGAGTTTATTATTTTAGGGCAGAGCTGAATTAAAATAACAATATAAAATTCTTGAGCTGTATTGATATATTTGTACATGGAGATAATAACCATTCACTGAATGGGTACATAGGTTTTTAAGTAAGAAAACCAGTTGTCATTTTTCCTCCTCCCTACTACTTTCTAAGGAGGGGCTCAAAACTACCTGTAATCCCAAATCAAAAGACACCAGGACACAAATCAAAGTCTGGAAAATACGGCGAAGACAGATGACGGGAGGATGCAACATAGAACAGCAACCATTGCAGAAACCTTACAACCACATTAAAAGGTCAGTCTTGGAGACACCAGTGTCTCTGTAGAAATGAACAAGCATCAGTAAATGAACAAGAGTCTCACATGACTTTTTCAGACAAACAACTATGGCTAAACTAGAGCAAGAGCTGTTTCTTGTTCAATCAGCCTAGGAAAGAAACAACACTTTCCTAGCTCACAGCCTCACCTTTCCAGGAAGAAAGTGACATTCAAGGGTACTCAGTTTGCCCCAGTGATTTGTCCAGGACCAAGTCAGGCAGCTCTTGACTGCAGACTGATTATATACATTATATATATATACACAAATATATATAAATATATGTATATATATTTGTAGAGAGTGGATTGGGAAGATGTGAATTCCAGGCAGCTAACTGCCTTTGCCTTACTACAAATGTTGATTTTTTTTTAACCTGTCAGCTTTGTCTTGTTTGTTTCTCTCCAGTTTTTTTTTTTCAAATTGGCACTCAGAATGTTCAAATCTCAACAGAGAAAAGCATGTCAAAGAAAACTCAGTAAACTAACAAACAACAGAACAACAGTGATGGATCATCTCAAAACTACACATCTTCAAGTTGAAAAGAATACATCCAAAACCTGCTTGCTGCCTGTCCCCCTCCTGGCAATTTTCAGAAGTAGTGCTCATTCCTCAAATATCTTTTTCGTCTTCTTGCCTTTTCTTCCCCTCAAAAAGTAAGCTTAATCTAGAATCTTGTTTGGTTAACCATTAACACAAAACCTTGACTCCTTCAAAGGACACAAGCTCCATGAGATTTCTGTCTATTCCATTTGCTGGGGTGGGTACTTGCAGCACCTAACACAATGTCCAGCACAGAATAAGTCCCCAGTAAATATTTGTAGAATATTTGAGTCAACGGAGAGAAGTCATCATGAGGTAAAAGGGTCCAACAAAGGACTCCCTAATATCCCCTTGAATTAAGCAGATAGTTGGCAACCCTCTGTCCCTTTGTAAACTACTACGGAAATGCAAAAACTCCTTCCAAGGAAAAAACTGGGTGCACTCAAGGCTCCCTGCGACATTTTTTCAAAAACTCCACTGGCCACACATCCAGATCAGTAGGCAGCCTTTACTTCTATCTAGCTCGATTCTAGTCCTTCCATTATATCTGACCAAAGGCTGGCTAAGCCCCAGAAATCCTATATCTTGTCCTAAGCACTGAAGTAGCAATGGTGTCCAGCCCCAGGTAGTGGACTCAGTGACCACTGCTCGAGTCGAGGGAACAGGGACAGTGAGTACACGGACTCTTCCACTCAGGGATTTTGAGGAGCATGGTTGAGTCCTGGAGAAGGTGGCACTACAGGGTGAGGTACCTGGCACACCCGATTCCCAGCTAAAAGACCTCTGGAGAGATACGAATGCCATCACCTCCACAAAGTATCCTTCTTGCCAGCCAAGTGGCGCCCCCTTTTGTCTCCGCTCCTGTCGGGACACTCACCGCATAGTGCAGACGGGGCTTCTCCCTGTTCGATGTGTCCCCCATGTCCCCGCCAGGAAGAGCAGCAGGATCTCCAGCTCAGCTTAGGGTCTTGGCTTCTCTCAGTGGTCCACTTACTTCACTGCCATCTCAGAGAAAGCCCTGGGCGTTAGCCCTGTTGTGCTCTGAGCGCGCTGAGCGGGAGCTTGACTCCTAACGTTGCTGGCACTGAGTCCTACGGCAGAGCCTGTGGGGACGGGGAGGGGGGAAGGGGGAAGGGAGGAGGCAACGAGCAGGGGGAAGGGCGAGGAGGAGGAGGGAGCGGCCAAGTCTGATGAGATGGGCGGGCTTTTAATTCCTTCCGCTCCTGGCGGGGCCCTGCTGAGGCAATAGCCACTACCAGCTGTTAGAGGCTGCAGCCTCTGAGGTTGCCCAAGACAGGTGTCAGGATGGCCAATGTCTTCCCTCCTAGTTCTTGGCTCCTCTTCCCTGCCACTCTGGACCTGACAATCAAGGCTGTGGCTTCGATACCTGCAGAGAAGAGCTTTCCAAGAGAGATTTTGAATAACTTTGAAGGCGCTGGGAGCCTGTCGCCAGAAGGGCGATTTCCACTGGTCTCAAGGGAGGGTGGAGTTGAGGGTTTTGGAAAGCCTTGATCTGAGTCTCAAAATGCTGGGACCCTCAGAGATATCAGGCTTGTGGGAATGATCTAATCTAACTATTACTCTCTCCCCGGACCTGTTGAAGCTAGGAGGGCTGGACAAAAAAGGCTAACGGAGTTTGCACTAGCCAAACAGCTTAGGGTAGCTGGCTGAAGGGCTAGTCCTAGAGAATTTGTTAGAACAGGAGTGAGTTTGCACTCTGACTGGCTCTGGGCATACACTGCTGCAGCACAAGGGGCAGCCTTGAAGAGGAGCTATAAAGAGGAACACTAATAGCAAGCACTGCCAAGTAAATCAACTCGTTTTTAGAACACACTGGAGCTACACAATAATTCATACAATTGGCTTCAACCCTAAAATCCCTCCAAGGAAATTGGTCCTTTAAAACACCTCATTAAAAAAAAAAGTCACCAAGTTTTCTGAGAGAGAAATGCAAAAGAGGCAGGGGATGGAGGCGGGGGCGGGGCAAGGCGGGGCGTGGAATGGGGTGGGGTGGAGTTGGGTGGGGTAGTTTTGAAGATCAAGTGGAGACTCCAGAACCATGCAGTCAGTCTATTCAGGCCCCAGGAGGGTAGCTGTGACATGGAATATGGATTTGGGAATGACTTATGCTAATTCTTCAGTGCCCAGCTATATTGAACTGTGGGAATATCCTTTGACAGATCTGTATTGGAGGCAAGGAGAAAAAAGTAGGACCCTAGTTAAATCCATTTGAACAGGAGCATACACTGACAAACATAGAATTATTTGAAAACAATTAACAGAACATTCATAACAAACTGGAAATGTGAGCACAAAGGTGCATGAATCCTGAAGAATCTACCACTAAATAATCTCGCAGTGGTCCTTATCTGGAAAACGGCACAGTTCTATGTACTGAAGCTGACTGCATGCCTGCCTTCTCATCCAACAATTCCATTTGTGCATATATAGGAAATCATTTCAATGACAACACCATATGCAATAGCGTTCATAATGACTTCAGGCATAGCTGCACACAATGGAAACAGTACAAACATGTAAACTGGTGCATATAAATCAAATGCAGGCTTTGTACACAGTAGAGTACTACTCAGCAAATAAAAGGGACAGTGCTATGAAAGCGTACAGCATGAACCCATTCCTCAAACTTTATGTTAGGAGGAGAAAAATCACACAAGTACATATGATATCATTTCGTTTATTTATTCTGCAACTGAAATGCAAATATCATTTGCATGGAATAGTGGTATGTGATCCATGGCGACAAAAGTCAGAATGGCAGTTAGCAAGGCAGGGAATGTGGAACATACTAGGAAGGCAGTACAGAGGAGTTTGTGTTTTGGGGTTCTAGAGATGGTCTGTGTTTTGATCTGGAGCACATTCATGTGTAAACAATCATTGCACTGAAGAATTCGGCAGAGTAGTGTCACTTATACCTTTTCCTTAGTGTATTTTACAGTGTCATAATAAACAAATAAATTTAAAGCCAACCAAGTCACAGCTCAGTCTCCCTGTGGATCTCTGAGTGAGGGGAGCAGGGGCTGATTCTATCTTGAACTCAATTGACTTCTCTTAGATCACTTGCTTCTGATAATGCAGCCTTCCCTGGCCACAGAGGAAGAGTATCCAGGCAGTCCAAATGAGACTTAACAAGCTATGGGTAGATGGCAATAGTGGAGAACTCCCCCTTTCAGTGGTCTAAGGGAAGGGGATGGGGAGAGTTGGGAGCGAGAGTGGGACTTTGGGGAGTTGAGGGATATATAATTAATAAATTGTGAAGAAGAAAAGTGTTGATAATTTAAAAAAAATGTAATCTGTTGGGTGAAAAATTAAGTCAAGCCTCTTCTCAAACAGAAATTTGTAGCCAGAATGCTACCTGCCTTATGAGCAGGACATTCAGATGTTTGTCTGATTCTCTTATTCTCATTCCAGGCTGCTTTGGTCAAGTTCCCTACTCCTTTGCTATCAGGGGGACAGAGTCAATCCATTCATTTTGGAGGCTTTCCTGCTCAAACATGTCTATGCAGGCCTAGGAAAATGACGCAGTAAAGATCTCTCGTTTTACTTTCATTCTCATGTACTGCTGAAAAAAATAACTTTTAGAAAGAAGTCTTTGAAGAAAGTGTAGAGCTGCTGCCCACTTTACAAGTTTCCTCTCTTCAAAAACTTGCAACTGCCATAGCCTAGGAAAGATGTACGCACAGAAATGAGATATGAGATGGACTAACCATTACATGTCTGGTTTAGGAACTTTTGCTTCATTATCTATCCAGATGAACTCTCAAGCTAGACATGAGGCTCAATGCTTGTAATCTCAGCTTTTGGGAAGCTGAGGCAGGTGAATTGCCATGAGTTTGAGGCCAACCTGAGATATACAGTGAAGCCTTGTTTCAAACAAACAAACAAACAAACAGACAGACACAAACAGACAAACAAACAAACTCTCTGCCTTCAGAGTGATTTTTTTTGACATATAAACTTGGAGTTTCAATTAAGCCCCTATTTCTATGAGGAATGCTACATTATCGATGCATATAAACAGGAAGAAGCAAGTTGCTGTTTTTATAAAAACCCTTTACCAAAATCTTTTAATTATTATTCCTGAGCAGGCCACTTTTAAAAACTAGATTGCCCCAGAATTTCCTTGTATTATGACCTTGAAAATATAACAATGAAAGAATCTGTGTTTTCCAATCTCTGTGCTAACATTTTTGGCCTGACTTCTGTCATCTAAAATATTCCTTGCTAAAGTGCTGTTATTAAGTTGTCATGAAATTTTCAAGTGTGTGTGTGTGTGTGTGTGTGTGTGTGTGTGTGTGTGTACAGGGTTATCCTTTAAAAAATGAATGGTTAGTCCTCCAGGAAAGACACCTTATTAAAAAAAAATCTGCTCTTTCAAATCTCACCTCATGTATTCAAGGCTCAAGTCACAAAAAAGGACCTTAAAAGATTGTGCAGTGCACTGAGAGGTCTATTCAGTTTGAAATAATTAAAATTCACAAATTATTTTTTTTATTTCGTGTACATTTCAAGGTCTACTTTTGAATCTCCACTTGTATCTTTTCTCGTTGTTCACTTTTCCGAACGTGGTTGCTTATTCCATGCACTTAGAGCATTAACCCTTTTGCTCTACTACTGTTATGTGTGATCTGAACTGTATCTTATTGTGGTATGGGGTTTCAAGGTTCACATTTGATCATTTAGGATAATAGGGAGATAGGAGGGAATAAGAAAACTTTCTGCTGGATTCAAACTTCAATGCACTCAGTTAAGGGCTGTAAGGCTAACATCCCTGTTTCTTCTTTTAGCGTGGCACTGGAATGGAACTCAGGGCTCTGTGCATAGTAGGCAAACACGTTTTCCCCTGAGCTATATCCCCAAGCCTGGTTCCACTTTAAAATAAATTTCTCTATATTTATAATCCTCCCCAGAGGGAACTCAAAAATAATCTCTGAGAGAAAATGTGTGTGCCATGCAGTAGAATGCCTGTGCACTCTTGTCCCCAATTTTCATGGTACTGCTAAGACTGAATCTTATCTCCCAGAACATTTAACTTAAAATGCATTTTTGCCTGTCTATAGGTTAAGTTACAACTTTCCATATTTGGTGAAGAAAAACTTTGATTACATTTGTGAAAGCAAATTAAACTGCAAAGTTTTGAAGGAGCCAAAAGAAAAAAAAAGAAAAAAAAAAAACCTGAGTTTTCTTGGCTTCATCACTGTTATTGGTGTGGTTGTAGGATCTGCTTGGGTAGAGAATTCTTGCCCCCAAATCCAATTTTTCCACTCCTCCATCCCATTCTCCTGACAATCCAGCCCTTTAAAGTAGTTTAACATTTTTGGAACAGAAAAACAGATACCATATAATGTGCAATTCCCTTTTACAGAACATTCATGCATCTATCTTCATCTTAATTAAGGAATAGAGTGTAGCTAACACTCTAGACCTCCATCCTCTTGGATTCATAAAAATGCCCTCTTCTTAAAGTGGAAGACATCCTACTATTATTCATTATTTGTTTATTTTCAGTTTATGATGTGTATGGTTTTTTTTTCTGCATGTATGTCTATATAGCATGTGTGTACACTGCTTGTGGAGGCCAGAAGAGAATACATGATACCCTGAAAACAGAGTTACTGACAGTTGTTAGCTGTCACATGGGTGGTGGGAAACAAGGGTTCTTCATTTTTGTACCACCTCTCCGGCCCCCAAAACTATCAGAGTTTTGATTGATTGATTTTTGATTCATCTTCTGATTTCCCTTTAACAGTGTAGTTTCTCAAGTCCAGTGCGACTGGCTTTGGGGAACCCAATTCTTTCTTCTGGAGCAGACCTGTGCCTTATAGCATGTTTTACAGCACCCTGATCTTTACAACTAAATACCAGTAGTATTTTTTTCTTCTCAAATTCCAGCAACCAAAAACTGTCTCCAAATATTGCCAATGTCCCTTGGTGCAGGAGGAGGCAAAATAACACCTGGTGGAAAACAACTGTGTTTTAGTAAGTTAAGCACCCGAAAATATTAGAGTAATTTCTTAACTTTACAT